ATTTGTCTGGTTAAGTGTCAGGAGGTTCTCCTTTCAAGGTTGGATTCCTTCATGGCATGTCATTAGGGAGTTACTCTGGTCTTACTCACTTAAGTCTATGTGGAAAGCTATTTCTCTCACTGGGGAGTGGGCAATCACCAGTCCTATTCCAAAAGAGGCAGAATAACACAGGGGTTGCAAACAAGAGCTTGGGAATCAGGAAGATGTGGGTTTAAGCCAATTACAAGCTGTGTGACCTTGAACAAGTTATTTACCTTCTTTGAGTCTCAGTTTCCTTGTCTGAAAAATGAAAATAATATTCCCAGCCTCATGGCATTGTTGTGGGACTTAAAAAAGATAACATACATAAAATGCTTAACATACAACCTACCACACAATAAGACCTCAATAAATTGTAGCCTAAAAACATCCTACCTTTGAGACCACAAGGCCACACCCCAACATGACTGCATTAAAAGCAGCAAAAACATTGAAAAAAAATGAACAAAAATAATGTAGGTCCTCATGCAATTCACAAATGCTAATGAAGTAACAGAACATCCATAATTGTTCTCCCCATTTTCCACAGGAAGATTAAGTACAAAGTTCTGAGGCTTTTATCAAATTTGCAAATAGAGCAAAGTTTAAATATTACTCTAAAGCCCCTGCTAACCTTAAGACTGGAGTCACAGAATTTTAGAATGTTAATGCCAAAAGAAAGCTCCAACCCTCTCCTTTTACAGATGAAGAAACTCAAGGCCAGGAGGTTAAGTGATTTGCCCAAATCACCGAGCATGTTCCATGATTCCTTCAAATATGTATTATTTCTAGCCCTTGCAGTCTCCCCTTTATCCCTCTAACCAACCTCTCTCCACCCTATCGACAGTAATGCTCGTGTAGCAATTGAACTGCAGAGAAGGTTCTTACGTTATCCCACCTCCCAGTGAGACTGAGAATTCTTTAAGGACAAGGATTATCTTTTATCTCGGTGCAGTAATGCTCGTGTAGCAATTGAACTGCAGAGAAGGTTCTTACGTATCCCACCTCCCAGTGAGACTGAGAATTCTTTAAGGACAAGGATTATCTTTTATCTCGGTGCCTACAAAAGGGTCCTCCATATGCTCACAAATACCATTATTTAACTGATTGGCAGATCAACACAGTTCTCTACCCATCCTATAGAAACTTATTAAGTGTCAAGTGAATGCATACATAGTAGATCCTATTGTTAAGAACATAATCTTTCTCTTCACTGCAACATCAGGCAAAGAAAACTGCCCATCTAACCAAAAGAAAAAGTTGCTAGAGACCCCTGGAACATGCCAACAGAAAGGGGCCACAGCATTGCTGCTCTCTGTCATGGTGGCTGCTGTCTTTACCCCCTACCCACCCTACCCTCATTCCCCTTATTTGTCTCTGTGGTCAACCAAACCTTCTCCAGGTCTTCAATTCTAATAGGTGAGAATAGATATAACTGAAGAGCATTAAGTAAAGATGCAAACACAGAAAGAGAATCTTAGCATGACCCAGCTTTCAGGATTTTCAAACACACTTCAGCAAGTCCTCACCAGTGCTGGGAGACGCTGATCATCAGAGGATATGAGCTGCAGAGAAGATAACAAGACTCCCAAGGGCAGAGACCCTGTGGAATGCCAGTGGGAGCACTGAATCTGGACTCCCTTCAGAAGTGACATTTCTTCAGAAACCCATATTTGTTACAGTTAACTAGACTTAAAGACTTAGAGTCTCCCCTGATGTCCCCACCTTCCCTGCCCTAACCTATTATGTCCCCAAATCCCATTTCTTCTTTCTTTCCTTCTATTCCACCTTCCTGTAATTTTGAACCGTTAATCCAGGTCAAAGCCCTTATCACTTCTTATCTGGGCCATATAATAGATTCCTAACTGGTCTCCCTGCTCAGACATTCCTTTTTCCAGTTCATCCTATACACCACAGCCTAGGGTGACCAACTTGTCCCTGGTTTCCCAAAACTCTCCCAGTTTTAGCACTGACAGTCTCATGTCCTGGGAAAACCCTTTGGTACCAAACAAACTGAGACACTGGCCACCTACTGCAGTCATATGAATATCTTCCCCCAAACAAAGTTTTGATCGTGTCACTTTCCTGACCAAAATGATCATGATCCCTGTTTCCCATTTCTCATTAAAATACACCCTAAGGTAGGCTCCAAATCTGCCTCACGGAAGGTATAAGAAAGCATATTGGGCTGGGATAAAGAAATAAGTGTGCTGGCCTGGCCTTATCACAGCCCTGTCATTCAGTCTAGCTGGATCTCAGTTTCCTCACCACTATTAAGAGGCTAGGACTAGATTTTCCCTTTCAGTTCCAAAATGTGCTAACTCTACTCTTCTATATACCCTCTGCCCCAGCCAGACTTACCAGCTCACTCTAATCCAAACACAACATATAAATTCTCACCTTTGTATCTTTGGCCTTTTCCTTCTCCCCACCCAGAATCTCTTTGCTTTCTTCTCTGTTCCTTTGAGGAACTACACAATCTCACCTCCTAAGGGAAGCCCAGGCCCAGCCCATGAGGACTCCACATGCATCTATGTTTTCTAATACTCAGCACTTGGCATGTCCTACCCTTAGTGTCCAAAATCTTTTTCTATGTAAACTTCTTTTTTCCAACTGGACTAAAATCCTTCTGCACTTCTGTGATTCCCTTGCAGAACCCTGACCAAATAGTAATTAATAGCAAGTGTCAACACTAATAACTGATTGGTTGATTGGGTACATAGGAAAAGGTCCAACCAGGGATCTAGATGTGAGACAAAAGTAAAAATACAGAAGTGTCTATAATTTTTTGTACTTTACACAAAATTTTTCAATGCTTTCATAATGCAATAATTCATTTATCCCAAAAATGAATGTCTCCTATGCTCAAGACACTGTGCTGGCATGTCATGGGAGTAGAGATGGGAAATAAATGGAGGCAGAGGTCTTTCACAACATCTCTACCTCACAGGTGTCATAAACTTCTATGCTGTCCTTCAATTCCAACTTTTTAGTAAGATTTGAGACGTGAGTGGTGGCAGTTCCACCATCAGCACTCGCCCCTCCCTCAAAATCGATCATGTATCTATGCTTCCCACTAGGCTGTGGAGCTGATAAATGAAAAAAATTAGCATCTCAAAATAGGTCAAAAGATTAATGGACAAATATCTACCTACACAAGCAAGAGATTATGCTGACAAATCTCTTCCAGGAACTACATCCTGGCCAAATACTAGTCCCTACTTTGACAGATCTTTGTGATGTGACCATATAGATATACTTTTTTAGGTATTATTTGACTGTTGACCTCCATTTCTCTTGTCAAGTGACACATATTAAGAATGATCTCAGCCTGCACCTCTGTCTTTTGGGACCCCCTCAGCATGTGCGTGTACATGCACACACACTCCCCTAATTAAATGGGGCTGGGACTTGAACAGTGTCACCTATTCTAATGACAAACAGGTTCATGAGCAAGTGGGGGAAGTAAATAAACCAAACGGTTTGCAGAGGGAGAGGTCAAGCTGGGCTGAGTTGGGCTGAGCTGGGCTGGGCCCAGAGTGATTCAGGTTCTGCCACAGAATGGGTGTCTCCTGGGATGGCCTAGAAAGACAATTAAAACCCCTATAAATAGGATTGGTTTTCACATCTCCAGTATCCTCTCCAGCTTCTGAATCTTCTGCTCATTCCTCCGCAAGCAGGTAAGACATGTATGGGGGAGCAATGGCAGTACCTGCGCCATTGTATCAGGCTCTTGAGAGCAGCTGTAATGTGCTGGGCTGGGGAGATCTGAGACTACTCCCTGTGGTGACAGCCTTGGGTATCTTCCTGCTTCCTTTTCCTTGCTCTGAGAATCTGATGATAGTTGGGGTGGCCAACTTCTGAGCCTGTAAAATACTTATGACGTTGCTTCAATGTGTCCTATGTATTCCAAAACTGAAGGCTGGGACTATTGGTGGTAGCTTAGTCTCACATAGTGGGGCATTTACCTTTTGTGCAAGTTAGGCAAGACCCAAGAGTTTATGGCTCATCAAGGCCAAGACCCTGGACCATGGGGCACCAGCAATACTCAAGTCTCATTGCAATGAATTGCTAAAAGGGACTCAGCTTATCCCATGCAATCCATTACTTGCCACTTATCCTTGTAAGCATCACTGTATGCTTTTGGAAGTCCAATGTGCTCTGCAGTTAGGGCTTTGGTTTGCAGGCCTATAAACTCCAAGTAATTGGAATTTTTATACCACAAGAAGAAATATCATTGAGATCCAGATCCCAAAAGACCCCAGCCTCCCAGCATGGCCAATGTGGACCTAACTGATTATATTTTCTTTTTCTCATCTGTGCAATTAATTTGCCTCTGTATCCACTTGCTATTTTTGTGAGAGTTTTTGTATTCACTGGTTGCATTTTGTAAGAATGTCCCAAAATTACCACCCAGGCCAGAAGCACTTGCTGAAATTTATTCTCCCATAAAGCTTCCTTAGAACATGGAGACTTTTGTCCTTCTTCCTTGCTTGAGGAAAGCTCATTAGAATAATGAGACCTGTTCAGTGGGATCTGTTTAGTGCCCCCTCCAGTGTACCAGTCATTGGGGGAAAATTATGCCCTACTATGCTGGCTTCTGGCCCTGTCTCTATGGGCTTCTTGATCTCCCTTCTTTTTTGTTTTGATATGAGAGTTTCAATCAAGCAAGTCCCACCTGGAGTAGAGGGTAGGGCATGTAAAACAACTACCATACATTTCAGGTTTTTAGGAAATTGCCTTACATTCTAGCAGGGGAACCATAGTTTGCACCCATCTCCCACTGTAGCATGTGATATTTGGAGCCGGACTGTGGGTAAAGGTGAGAGAAGGGTATGGCTAAAAAGTGGCTCTGTCTTTCTTTAGCTTCTTTTCCAGATGAACAGGGGCCATTTTCCCTCTGGAAATGCCATCTCCTGGTCTTCATCCTAAGTGCAGAAAAAATCTTCTTTCTTCTTTTAGGTTCACCTGTGTTTGCCAAAATGGCTCAACTCCTGAACAGCATACTCAGTGTGATCGAGGTGTTCCAGAAATATGCCAAAGAGAATGGGGATTGTGCCTCACTATGCAAGAAGGAGTTGAAGAAGCTGCTCTTGGCTGAGTTTGGAGACATCCTCCGGGTAAGACACATAGACACTTGGCCCCACGGAGTCAAGTGTGAATGACTCTGACACCTGCATCCAGGATTTGATGTTTTGTCTTATTTGGTTATGCTCCACCACATAACAAAAAGAATTACAGGCAGCTTCTCAGTAGTTCTGTCCCAGAATACACACACACACACACACACACACACACATCCTCCTTATATCTGAACTTGAACAGGAGGAAGTACAACTTCAAAGTAATGAAAAATAATTTCTCATAAGAAAATCTGAGCTTTCCATCTCAATTTCTGTATTTTAGTGCTGACCATACCCCTTCTAGTGTATTCATTCATTCACTCATTCAAAAGTCATAGAGCACCTATTCCATGCCAGCACCACCCTAGGCACTGGGGATAGAAACATGAATAAAACAAGCTTTTCCTCCTTCCAGTATCTCACAGTGTGGTGAGAAAGAGGTAGATAAACAAGCAATTAGAATACAGCATGTGGTGGGATGGGATAACTTCCTCAAATGATTCAAATTAATTATTAATGGAGCTGATTTTCAATAAGCGTATCTACTTCCTATAGTCATGCTCCCACTGGTTCAGCAAGAGATGAGGCTGTGAGAACCACCTAATCAATGACTAGAACCAAGCCCAAGCCACCTCAGATTAATGGTTTCTTGACTACAGGAGGTCCATGCAGGACTGAATGGATCAGGGCATGAACATTGATATACATCTTAATACCCACAGGAGAACATCTGATTTTGCTCTTTGTTTTATCTTCTCACAGAGACCAAATGACCCAGAGACTGTGGAAACCATCCTGAGCCTCTTAGATAGAGACAGAAATGGACGTGTTGATTTTCATGAATACCTCCTATTGGTGTTCCAGTTGGTCCAAGCCTGCCATCAAAAGCTAGACAATAAGTCATGTAGAGATACAACCTCCCAGCAAGAAAGGGAACAGGAAGAAACACAAGACCATAAGTTTCCAGGAAACACAGGCGGACAACACAGGCAGAGGCATGAGGAAGAAAGGCAGAACTCCTACCACAGTCAGTCTGAAAGACAGAGTCAGGATGCACAACATGATCAGTCTGAGAGAAAAGATAGGAATTCCCACTATGGTCAGTCTGAGAGACAAAAGAGGGACTCTCATTATGATCAGTCCAAGAGACAGGATCAGGATTTCCGCTATGATCAGTCTGAGAGACAAGATAGAGACTCTCGCTATGGTCAGTCTGAGAGACAGGGTCAGGACTCCCGCTATGGTCAGTCTGAGAGACAGGGTCAGGACTCCCGCTATGGTCAGTCTGAAAGACAGGGTCAGGATTCCTGCTATGGTCAGTCTGAAAGACAGGGTCAGGATTCCTGCTATGGTCAGTCTGAAAGACAAGAAAAGGATTCCCACCATGGTCAATCTGAGA